ATATTTTTTAAATTTTTTGTTATTTATCTTAAAAAAATAATTAAATAAATAGTTTCATAATAAAAATAATTCAAGATTTACAAGACTTCTTAAAAAAGTTAGAATTATTTGAAGATTATTTTTTATTTTTCTCAATCTTTTATATTTTAAATATAAAAAATACGTTGTTTTTTTTAAAAAAAATTCTGAATTTTTTTTTACAAAATAAATTGATTTTGTTTCAATACGTATGAAAAATTTCTATTTAAAATATCAAAAATTAAATTTTTTAAAAGAAAATATGATAGATAAATATTAATAGATGGACAATCCAAAAAAATTAAAAGTTTAGAGACCTTCAAAAAACAATAAAACAATTTAAAAACTCAATCTCAAAATTATTTAAAGTTAAGGAAATAATAAACTTCCCTTCAAAACGAGAAATACTAAAGACACGTACGGAAGAACAGTATAGTACACAACCCTCGTTCAAAATAGAACGTCAAGCTAGCTAGGGGCAACCTCATCAGACATAGCATGGCAAGTTAGCTGAAGTCTTTCAAATTCTGTTCCATATTCTACAACAACAAAATGAGAAGCTAGGGCACCCAAAAACCCAGAAGAGAAATGAGTTTATTTTATTAAACACAAACCTTACAAACATGCCTCAGAGTTGTGGATGCCAGTCCCTTCATCATCAAGCATTTGGAGTAGAAGAGATCGAGAGCTGCAAAAGTGTGTTTTCAGAGTAAAAATGGAGGCTTCTCTGAGGAATACAGGAGCATAGTGACATTTTTCATGCTGCAACTGACATTCTCACTTTCAAGCTGGTTCACTACTAGTTGGGCATTGGTCCACAAGCTAATTCTGAGAAGGGGTGGCATGAAAATTTTTGAGCGAATTCTTAAAAAAACATATTCCAAAGTCATTGCACTGGACATTGATGCATGGATACAATCTTAAGGCTGTCTAATGCTCTGTTTGTCCTTGCTGTGCTTATAATATTAACAATTTTTAGTCTAATTTTTTAAGCAGAAGTGTTTTAGAAAAATTACACATAAAAAGAGAAAGAGAAAAACAGGTGAGAGAAAATAAAAAAATTTAAACAAACGTAAAAATCTTTTTATCATTTTTGATAGGCATAGACGTAATTTTTTTTTATGTGTTCATCTCTCTTCTCAAGTGGATTCAAAGAATAATTACTATACATATCACTAATTACTTTTTATGTATTATAAAATTTCCTCACGATGAATTATTAAATCACCAGCAATAAAGTAAAGTCCAGGTGTTGATTTTTATTACTTATGAACGAAGCTACCAATACAGAAATCTTATATCCATTTAACCAAAATAAAGTCGCGATCCTCTCTTTTTAAACTTTGTATGTTGATGCAACGAAAATCTACATCCAGAGATTTAATTGGTTTTGTTGATTAACACCTTGGTTGCCAAAACACGGGCTTGGGAAGAAGATCGTCGCATGCAATTTGCATATGATGGTGTGCATCTCCTTGCCATGCTGGATGAATATGCCATGCTCAGGCAGAAAAGAGAAGAAGAGAAATAGAGGAAGAGCTTCAGTTTTACCTGAAAAGCATGAAGCGAAACATGAAGGAATAGAGTCATATCATTAGATGATGAAAAATTTTATGATACATAAAGATTAATCAGATGACATATACAATAATTATTTGATAGACACATTTTAAGAAAAGAGATAGGTACATTAAATTATATTCGGATCCATAAAAAATGATAAAGAAGATTTTCTTATTCGTTTAATTTTTTTTATTTTCTCTAATGAAACGTGAAGAAATAGTCATATTATTTGATGATGAGAAATTTTATAATACACAAAGAATAACCAGATGATCCACCAAAAATGATAAAAAAGATTTTCACGTTCGTTCAATTTTTTTTATTTTTTCTCTCCTAATTTTTTTTTATGTCTATTTCTCTAATTAATTCATAAAATAATTACTCATTATGTATTATAAAACTGCTAATTTGATTACATATAAGTTTATATGTCAATAAATTTTTATTTTAATACGTAAGTTTAAAAGTATTTTCTTTTAACAATAAAAATTTAAAAATACTTTGTTTGGAAAAAAAAAAAAAAAGCTCGCAGAAGAAGATCGGACAGACACGCCGTCGTTTTATAGAGACGGAAAAGATGGACTTTCGTCGAAAGGGAAAGAAAAGAAGGAAAATACCTTTTATAGAATCGCAGAGAACGAGAATCAAGCGAAAGAGAGATTTCCTTTTTCGAGAAAAGCGAAGGAGAAGGAGTGAGGAAATTGCAGGGTAAAAAAGTTGTCGGTTGTAAATTGATTTGGCCGCAGACGCCGACACTAGAAAAGGTCCTTGACGCTGAACCAAGTGGCTGCCAGTAAATTCATTTGGTCTTTGTAGTTTGTTCCAAGAAATTGCAGGGTCAATTTTCTCTTGTTTTGAAGACAACTTTTAATCTCGAGAACTAATTGGCAAAGAAAGCCATGCTTATTGTCAAACAAAAGGGGCCCCTATGAATTGGTTTAAACCGAGGGCTTCTTCTTTCCTTGACTTGGACAAATAAATCCCTATAAAGTCTACCTTCATGAAGATCAAGCACTAACCGACTTGTTAAACATAGATTACATTATGATTACATTAGCTTCCGGAATGTATTCAAATGATAGATTATGATGCAATAAACACAAGTATTCATAATTATGTAATAATTTTATTAGTTAATAGTCTCGAATATTCAGGCAAAAGGTTACGGATGTGTTGGCACGTCAGTTGGTAATCCAGACGAAGTGTTCAACAACTCATTTATTACCATAAATGAACGAGTCGGTACGTTTTCACTTTACGTACCATGCCTGGCCTGAGCAGCTTTTTTGTCACATGGAGGATGGAAAAGTACCAATCAATTACAGTGATCAGATTAACTGTTCAAACTTCGAAGTTTCCACACTTGACCCAAATGGATTCTCGGCAGAGTTTGGAGACTTATTTAGAAACTGCATTTTATGCTTCCCGGTTAAGGAATTGCTTTAAGCCGAGGGCTCCTTCCTTTTTTGACTTGGACAAATCCATACCTACAAAGGCTACCTTCATAAACATTGAGCACTATCCGTCTTGTTAAAACACAGATTACACTATGATTAAAATAGGTTGCTAGGGCTATTTGATAGTATTCAAGCTATAAAAATATTATAATCCATAATAAAAATAATAAATAAATAAATTTATGATTTTTTTTGGTTGATAATGATTTAAAAAATTTTTTTTGGAGGTGTATAGCACACTTCTCTTTATAAGATAACAAAGCATTTTTTTATTCTTAATTATCACAATCACGAATTAGTTAATTAAATTAAGATAAGATGAGTTTTTACAATATAATAAGTAAATTTATTTAACAACTTGTAATCACTGCTTTTTATTAAATAAATATTAAAATTAAAGTAACAATATACTCTTTAACTGAAATTGTAATTGTATTTTAGGGTGTTAGTAACTAACACAGTTATGCAATAATTAATTGCATTACTATGTAATTGGATTATTACGAAACGGTACAAGGATAAAAGTAATTAATTGCAAAATAGTTGTAACTAGTTTTTTTTTACTCGTGTTACGCTATGGATTAAATAAAACAAATCAAATTATTATTTAAAAATTATTTTAATTTAATGTTTTATGTAATATTATACATATACCAAAATATGTTAAATCAAAACTGAATAAAATTTTATTTAATTTTATAATTTTTTAATCAAAATTTTGGATTTAAATGATTATTTTTTATATTTTTAATAAATTTTTGAAATATTATTTGTTTATTTCTATTCTCAACCTAAAAACTTTATAATAGTATAAAAAATATCAAAATTAATGGATTCTTAGTTAAAAACTTATCTTGTAAATTATTTTTTTCTTTATAATTTTTAATTTAAAAAGAGAAAAAAAGGATGAAAGTAATATAAATGAAACACAAAAAAGAGAACGAAATAAAATAAAAAATATTTATGAATTAAAAAATAATATTTTAAAAAAAATAAATTATAATATCATAAAAAATTTTATAATAAATATTTTTAAAATATTTAAAAATTATAAAAATATTACGATATATTAATGCATTTGAATTTTTATAAATGATATAAATAAATATGAATGAATAATATTTTAAATAATATAATGAATAGTAATACGATAGTTACGTAAACTGAAAAAACAAACTTGACTTTGAGTGGAATATCGTTCTGGGTTATCAGGGCCTACAGGGCCAGAAAGCGGTCACTGAAATCGACCCCGATCCTGACTCGAACCACTCAAATCAAGCTATGACCCACAGTCATTCAATGGAAAATAAAGAAAAGATAGAAAGCTGAGGGCGAAGAATCCAAATCCTCTGTAACCGTGAAAAATTAACTGGACTTTCTAGTTTAAGAGGGAGCCGGGAAAAAAAAAGTCTGATCAAATTTAAAATTATTTGAACTTAAATTTCTGAAAATTTTTATCAGTTTTGAAGTTTTTTTAACTTTTAATTGTTTTTTAAAATAATTAATATATTCTTCAATTTTTTGTAATTTATCTCAAATAATAAAAATAATAAATAATTTCATGACGAAAAATTACTCAATGAGCTTTATGTAAAGCTCTTAGAATAATTTGAAATCATATTGAGATGATTTTTTATTTTTTTAATTGTTTTAAAAAAACAAATATAGTTTTGATTTTAAACAATTCTAGACTTTTTTTCTAGAAAATGAATTAATTTTTTTTTAATTTGTGTGCAAAATTTCAGTTTAAAATATTAAGAATTGATTTTTTTTAAAAAAAAAGAAATATGACAGTTAAAAATTATCAAATAGACAAAATTTTAAAAAATTAAAAAATTAAAAATTTTCAAAAAAAATAAAAATTAGAAACTCAACTTTAAATAACGATTGATTAGACGTTTTGGACATTCAGAAAATAATATACTGAAGACAGATTTAGAAGAACAGTACAGCACCCAACCATCATTCAAAATAGAATTTCAAGCCAGTTCGGGCAACCTCATCAAGCATAGCATCACAAGTTAGCTGGAGTCTTTCAAATTCTGTTCCATATTCTACAACAACAAAACAAGAAGCTAAGGCACCCAAAACCCAAGAAGAGAAATGAGTTTATTTTATTAAACACAACCTGACAAACATGCCTTAGAGGTGTGGATGCCAATCTCTTCATCATCAAGCATTTGGACAACCTGGGCCACACCTTCTGCAATTTCCTTTCCAATGACACCATCAGGCATTACGAACGTCCATCTTCTAATGGAAAGGGATCTACCAGCAGGTTAGGGGTCCACCCGATCAAGCATTGCCTGCAGCTCATTTATTAAAGAATAGTATAAATTATTTCCTGTACTCAAGTCATAGTTTAAATTTTTTGATGAGATGATATTATGATATAAGAGCCTTCATGATAAAATGATTACGAATTCGAATCACCTCCACTTTCTCTTTGGATGAGATCCACCATTGACCGCTTTGCAGCGAGCACCAATGGAAGTAATGCCAAGTTAGACAGGAATTAAGGCAGGTACTTAGCTGCCCTCAATCCACCACCCAAAACCAACGTATTCTCAGACAGTGATGCAAACATTCTAGAACTGTGCAGCAACTAGCCTAACTATGTGATCCAAGATGTCTAGCCATTGTCCTTTTTCCCCTTTAAACTTACTCGTCTAAGACATAATGTTTTATTTTACTGGTATCAAAATAGTAGTACGGTATAAGATGATTGATATTAAGGTTATTGATCCTTGAATATTGTGGAGACATGGCTTATAAAAAACAGACTAGCTGCACAAGCAAAGTTCATCACCATCAGAATGATACTCTTAATGGCAAGATCAACAACTCATACACTTTCTCTTGAAAGAAAAAAAGAACTCCTCAGGTTTTGAGCAGAAGAGATCAAGAGCTGCAAAAGTGAGCTCCTCAGGTTCTTCAAAGGAGGGAAAAGCGAGTGTTTTCAGAGTAAAAATGGAGGCTTCTCTGAGGAATACAGGATCATAGTGACATTTTCATGCTGCAACTGACATTCCCACTTTCAAGCTGGTTCACTACTAGTTGGGCATTGGTCCACAAGTTTAACAATTGACATTAAGGTTAATTCTGAGAAGCGTGGCATGAAAAATTTTGACTCTGAATTCTTAAAAAGACATATTCCAAGGCCATTGCACTGGACATTGATGCATGTATACAATCTTAAGGTTGTCTAATGCTCTGTTTGTCCTTGCTGTGCTCATAAGTTTAACAATTTTTAGTCTAATTTTTTAAGTAGAAGTGTTTGTTAAAGAGCTTGTTATTAGAAAAATTAGATTGATCAAAAAAGCAGGTAAAAGCTGATTATAAATGCTTCTCTTATAATCCGTTCAAGGAGTTGCTTTACTTGTAAGCATAGAAAGATCAAAAGAGACGCTAAATTACATTGCAAGTAATATATATAATCTTTAAGGCAATGGAGGAAAGATACGGAAATGTGAAGAAATAACAGAGTCTTCCTGCACATACTTGTTGGAACGATTAGGGTCCGGCATCCAAGTAATCTCACTCACATTTGGCGTCCCTACAAATACCATAGTAATTAAATTCTCTCACCTTCTCTACAGCCCCCTCTTGCCAGCCCTCAAAACAAGATTGATGTTCCTGTTGTAAGAAAAGATGCCATTAGCCAAACGGATAATGTCAATTGGCTAGAATGCATCACGCTCGTCACCCCAGAACTGGACGTGAATGCATCACACTCGTCACCCCAGAAATGGAAGTGAACTGAGGCAGTCTCGTCAGCCACAAGTGCCAAGCATGTCCTGTTTGGCCTTCCAAGGTTGTTCTGCCTTTGTCCTCTGTTAATGTTGTTTTCAGCTGCAGGTACTGTGTCTTTTAGACAGACCATCCTTCCTACAAAGAAGATAATAAAATTATAATAAAAAGAATCGATAACAAAGAAATGGAGAATTTGACAATAAAAAACGCTGTCGTTTAGAAAACAAACGACAGTATTACTTGCAAGATAAGACAGAGATGAGGAACCGCAGAAGATTGCCGTCGTTTTACAAAGACGAAAAACTACACTTTCTTCGAAAGGGAAAGAAAAGAAGGAAAATACCTTTTATAGAATCGCAGAGAACGAGAACGAGAATCAAGTGAAAGAGCGATTTCCTTTTTCGACAAAAAGCGAAGGAGAAGGAGAGAGGAAACTGCAGGGTCAGAAGGAAACTGCAAGTGACATTAATATCATGTAGCAGTACTCGATTATGATGCAATAAACACAAGTATTCATTGGTATGTAATAATTTTTTAATCCTTAATAGTCTCATATATTTTTATAGTACAAATTTCTAATCTATTTTTATATTTTAAAATAATTTTATTATGTTTTATTATTTTAATAAATTTTTACTATTCTTTCTGTCAATTTTTGACAAAACGAATTAATCATGTCACTTGCACACGTTTTTTTTTTTTTTTAATGAAAATGCATCCCATGTCTTTTTTCTTTCCTCTTCTTTTCTTCCTCTGTCTCTTCTCGTGGAAAACAAACTAACTCGATTCCTCTGTCAATAGTTATAATCCACCGATAACAAACTAAGACTATGAGTGGAAAATTGTACTGGGCTTTCTCGTGGAGGGATCTAGAGCCTATTTTGGTCAATCTAGGTGCCCACAAGGCAAGAAAATGGTCACCAGAAATTGACCACGATCCTAACTCGAATCATTTAAATCAAGCAAGCCCCACCTTCATTGATTCGTAGCCCAATACAAGTTTACGTCCGGTTACAGAGGTCTCGTACTCGAGTCCCAAAATGACCCACAGACAAACAAAAGATAAAAAGCTCGAAGCAAATAACCCAAATCCTCCAGGAGAGATCGAAAATGGAAGTAAATAATGCGTAAAATTAAGAGACATGAAGTGATCTAAACCGTGAAAAATTAACTGGACTTTCTAGTTGGAGAAAATAAATAAACTTCCCTTGAAAAAAGTAGTGCAAACAATCCTCACTCAAAACAGAACATCAATCTAGCTAGGGCAACCTCATCAAACATGGCATGACCAGTTAACTGATGTCTTTCGAATTCTGTTCCATATTCTACAACAACAAAATAAGAAGCTAGGGCACCCAAAACCCCAGAAGAGGAATGAGTTTATTTTATTAAACACAACCTTACAGACATGCCTCAAAGGTGCGGGTGCCATTCTCTTCCTTATCAAGCATTTGGACAACCTGGGCCACACCGTCTGCGATTTCCTTTCGAATGACACCATCAGGCATGTCGAATGTCCGTCTTCTCATGGAAAGGGATCTACCAGCAGGTTGGGGGTCTACCACATCAAGCATTGCCTCCAGCTCATCTACCATCGACCTCTTTGCAGCTCGCACCATTAGATCAGCTCCCTACATGCAACACATCAAAGCACATTAAAGAACCAATAGAAGCAATGCCATGTTAGCTGTCCTCAATCCTCCCCCTAAAACCAACATAATATCAGACAGCGATGCAAACATTCTAGAACTGTACAGCAACTAGCCTAACTATGAGATCTAAGATATCCAGCCGTTATTCTTTCTCCCCTCAAAACTTAGTCATCTAAGATCTAACTTTTTTATTTTATTGGTATGAAAATAGTAGTACAATATTGCTTGTTATTAAAGTCATTGATCCTTGAATATTGTGGAGACAGGGCTTATGAAAAATAGACTAGCTGCATAAGCAAAGTTCACCACCATCAGAATGACACTCTTAATGCCAAACTCAACAACACATACACTCTCTTGAAAGGAGGAAAAAAAATAAAAAAATTGAAACAACTAAATAAGTTGTAGAAGAGAGAGCAACGTAACACCTCTCTCATGGGCCATAGAAGGTGAATAGTTTCATTATATTTTTCTTAAACAACTCTTCTACAGGGAACCTGATGAATTAGGCATCCAAATATTACTTTGGCACCCCACATATATACAGGAATATTTGTTTAAGACAAACAAAGTGTGAGGAATTTTAATGAACATGGAAGTTCAGCTCTTGACATCTAGATTTAAAACCCCATAATCGTCAACATCATCGGTTCTAACAAGGAAAGATATAAAAATGGGATAGAATGGTTAAGTCTGCCAATCAACTAGACTCATTCGTTGTGCTTTGAACTCAAGTGATACAAGTGCGGGGTGAGCCTTAGCCTGTGTTCGATAGTGGCAGAAGTAGCTACAACCACAAGCTCAGTTATTTGGTAACATTTCAAAAGCATCAAAATAATACTTTTGCAATTGATACATTTAGCTATTATGATGGAGAGAGCTGGTCCAACCATAATACCAAACACAGGAATATATCCAAACTCTTAACTAGTGAAAAATAAAATGCGGCAGGTTAGATTGTGGGTGGTGCAGAATCGGGCATGTTTCTCTTCAAGGAATCTATAGCAATTAGCATCCTTCACATATGGTTTATCTAGGAAAAGAAAACCAAGAAAATTCTTTGAGGATGCATTTCTAACTAAATTGTTACCAAACAAACATGATAAACAAGATTTGTGAAACAATAAAAGATTGTACAAAGTTTTATCATTTATTTGTAATCCTTGTACCAAATAAATGCACATGTTAACAAATGCACTACACTGTACCAATTTGCTAATGGCATTCACATAAACATTGACACCCTCAACGTTGATTCATTTTTATTCCAAAATGAGCAACCAGTCAACGGACTGAATTTTAATTTGAGGTTAGTGGAAAATCCAAAAACTATTAGGTGGAGTAGGTCCATCACATGAGAGCAATTTTAGGCCACTCAGAACTAAAGGAAACACCTTCCATGTAACCCATTCAGGTATTCAATCAAGCAATCAATCATTCTTACAAGCAACCCTATTAAACTTGGAACCAGTTGAAAGTCCAATAATTCAACATTAACATCAAACAAATGTTAAATGCAATGTCTTTATCAGGCTTAATAAACATCAATCAACAGCAGCTGTCATCATCTAATAGCATTTCAAGCAAATCATAGAGCACATCATTTCAAGTAAATGAAACATGATTTACCTCAATGCCATCAACAGTAAGCAGCAGCACAATAATTTTCTCCGTAAACTTCTGCCTCTCCTCAGCATCACGAGCAACATGACTCCTATATGAAAAGTTATTAAACAAAGCTCTAAGCTCCTTCAACTTAGACTTTGCAACCGCCAACTCTCTAAGTGCACGAAGCGCCTGTGACCTCTTAATCAAATAAGCCTTAAACGTCGTCTGAATCAACAATGCTGCATCCAGCGGCGTCAATTCCTTCTTCTTCCCCTTCCTCTTGTCCACTACTCCAGCTCTCTTCGCAAATGCCTACAAAAAAGCCAAAATGTCAATAAGAAAAAACAATGTACTCTCTCTCGTGCACGTTTAACTGACTTAAACTTCGCGATCTGGCCCGAATTACCTGTCGTAAAACAACAGCTCCATGATCAGGGTAATCTTCGATTTCGACAAGACGCGTGGCGCACTCTCCTTTATGCTCTTTCTTACCCTCTTTCTTTTTCTCTTTCTCTTTCTTTTCTGGTTTGCCACCCTCACCTGCAAATCCACTTGACGCTTCAAAAGTATACTTTCTCGAGATCGGAATCTCTTCCTCTCCCTTTTCTTTAATCTCAGCCGTCCATTTGTAATTCTTAACCTTCTCTTCCTTCTTCTCCTTCTCTTCGTGTCCTTTGATCTCCGCCGTCCATTTATACTTCCTCTCTGTCATCGGTCCCTTAATCTCCGCTGTCCACTTGTACTTCCTCTCAGCCCCACTTCCGGCGTTGATCTTCGCGTTGACTAGTCTGTCAAATTTTGACTCAAGGTCACTGACTCGGTCAGAAAGAGTCTGCAAGCGCAAGTCAGTCTCAAACCGGTCGTGAATGCTCTTGTAAGTGCAAAACGACGGCGGTTTAACCAGATCCGCCACCGTATCAAAAACATCAAAAGTGCTGGGCTTTGAGTAGAAGAGATCGAGAGCTGAAAAAGTGAGCTCCTCAGGTTCTTCAAAGAAGGGAAAGGCGAGTGCTTTCGGAGTGAAAATGGAGGTTTCTCTGAGGAATACAGGAGCATAGTGAGGCTCGAATATTTCGATTCTTCTAAATCGGCTCATGACTCGGACGGGTTGGGAAGGCTGGCTCACTGAGTTGACTGGGGAATTCTGGGCGAGTGGAGATTATTTGTTGATGATGGAGTGAAGATAAAGGTGGCGATGGAGATTATTAAGGGAAATTCATAGGAGAAGAAGACAAGAGTGTGAGTTCAACGAGGAATTAAAAAGACAGGGACTGGAGCAGAGTCAAAAAGTGGATAGCAGGGGTACAATGGGAATTTCATTTTGGGATTTATTTTGATAGCGAGGTGTCTTGATTTGATAGTGAGGACGGAGTGGATAAAGCCGCCGTTAGCGGTGCTAATTCCATGTTTATAATTTGCTTTGTAAAATAATAAAATGGGATTGTTCCTTATTTCTATATAGGATTTAAAAAAAAAAATTAGTGATTATTTAATTAAAACTTGATTGAGGAATAATTTAATTTCGATATATGAAATTACTTCAAAGGTATTTTAATTGGATAAAACCTCCATTAGCGTCCTAATTGCAATTTGCTTGTTTGATTTTGCTTTTTTAATTATTTATCATAACTTAAAAAAATTCACAGAAAGTATCATATTTTTTAAAATAAAGATAAATAATTAAAATTATAAAAAAATATATCTTTTAATATATAAATTTGTCCTTTTAACCTCTTAAAAGATAATTTCTTAAAAGATGGTCACCAAAATTGTACAAACAAATGCTTTTCGACCTTTTTTATATATATATATATACATATATTTTATGAGTATAATATGTAATATCATTTTAACCAACTTGTTATTTCTTTTGTAATTGACCAACTTGTAATAGCTAGAAATATTTTTGACCAATTGATTATATATATTTTGAACTTGACTACAAATATGTCATTCTTTGAATAAATTATAAATTAATCCCTGTAGTTTCAAAAAATAAATTAAATAATCTATTTCGTTTCGAAAATTATTAGTTAATCATTTAATCAGTATTTATCATGTTTAATAAAATATTATTTTTATTTTACAAAATTTCTTATTTTCTCATCCATCTTTTCATATTTTTTTCCATTTCTTAAAATAAAAATAAAAATAAATTAAAAAATAAAAATAACTAAATTATAAATAAATTTTAAAATATAAGAACTAAATAATTAATTTTTAAAATAAAAAATAATTAATTAATTTTTTAAATTAGAATGACTAATTTATAATCTACTCGTCATTCTTTTTAATATATATATATATATATATATATATATATATATATATATATTTGTTTTTTTTTTTTAAGTAAAAAATCATCCTCCTCCGTAACAAAAGCAGCACCCAGTCATGAATTACCAGAACAAGTTTAACCTATTAATTAATTAGATGGCTAACGTTCGAAACAGGGGTCGCCGCATATTTGAGGAGGTGAAAGTACAGAAAGGACCATGACCTAATAAAAAATTACGGGGACATGAGAATCTGATAGTGCGATCACAGCATGGAGCGCATGTGGGGTCTGAAATTTGTCATTCGGTCGAACGTGATTTAAGGGCTTGGGCTGGATTCTAATTCGGTTTTGGGTAAGTTGGGTCCAGCTGCTATTTGGATGGTCATGTCTTGTTTAAATTCACCTAATTTTGTTTTTGCTTGACTAACATTTTCACAAATTTATCATGAAATGCATTTCATTAATTAAAAAATCATCCCATTTACATTTAAGGCATATGGTATTAAATGCATTGTTTTTGCAATATATCAATTTCTCATGACTAAATATTTTAGCAAATCTTAGATTGAGTTTGAGTTTGATTTTTCGTTTTGGTTTTTATGACTCATTTAGTTTTTCAATTTCCCAATTTATATTATTTTTCATTATTTATTATTTGAAAAATCGGAGGAAACTAAACGATATAGTATAATAACTTAAATTTATGTATATCTCAATATATACGTTTATTTATACAGTGCATCACTGAAAAATTACAATTCGAAGAATCTAAAGTTTTGGGTGAAAATCGACCAATTATGAGTTTATGCTTTCGCTTTCTTGACTCTTTTCATAATTCAAACCGACCTACCCAACCCACTCTTTAATGTTTCTACCTTGTACGGCAAGATATGCATGCAAAAGGGCCGCTGGTGGTTCTCTATTATCGTTTAACATGTAATCAATTTCAGTTTCTAAGATGTAACATATACACATAATTAAAGTTATATACATGCTTAATTATATATATATATATATATAAAATGTAATGTTCATATGATGTTATCTGAAAATTATTTTGAAAAGGATTTACCTCATAATTAATCCCTATGCAGTTTTAATTTTTTTGATTAAGAGTCCTTATTATTTTTTAGTTTAATTGAAACCTTATATTTTTATAAATTTTTTTTATTGTGACTTCCTGTTATAATGTTGTTAACTATTCATCCCTCATGACAATCGAGAACCGACATGCAAAAATATAGATAAAAAAATTTATCACGTGTCGTTGTCTAATTTACTATTATTAGTTTTAAATTGTTACATATGATAAATAATTAACAACGTTATAACGAAAGGTTTCAAATAATAAATTTGTACGAGTAGAATGTTTTAATTAAGTTGAAAAATAATAAATGATCTCAATAAAAAAAAATTAAAGTGTAGAAGGACCAATTATGGGATAAACCCATTTTGAAAACGAGTATTACGAAACTTAATTAATTGGAAACAAAAAATTTAGTCATATAGGATTATTAAAAGAAATATTAAATTAAAATTTTCTTTTTTTCAACCAGACACGAGATTGCATATCAGTTAAAAGAAAGACAGATTCATATTATTATTTCCACTATTTTTTTTAATTCTCGAAGAAAGAGGGAAAAAGAAATTGCAAAATTGTCTTGTTATTTGCAATTTAGATATAAAATGCATTTCATTTACAAACTACAAAACAAAAACACAATGTTAAGGAAATTAAGATGAGACGGGATTAATGCACGAGTTTCCTCTCCCGAATGCCAAATGTCTATAGCAAGAAAGGTGCAAATGACACATACCTTTACATCCGTAATATAAAAAAGAACATACAAAGGTCAGATTAGGGCGGAAGTAATATAATATTGAAACCAATTTGGGGAATGAAATTTTGTAAGGACTCATGTTGCCAAGAGGTGATCTTGAACAGAATTTACTATCTTTTCCTCCTTGAGAATTTATTACAAGAGAAAGACTAATTTTTGGTATTCTGGCAATTCAGTACTTTTGAATATCTTGTTTGGCTCTTGCAATCCTGCATGCACACTAGAATGAGAGGGGAGGTCTGTTTCAACAGCACAGAAAAAACAGAGTAAACAGGCTAACAGGGAGCTGAAGGAGAGTAAAAAAGAGCGAGCTAACAGGGGTAAAATGGGATTTTCACACCTAGGGGTTCTTCTTGTTAGCCATGGTTGTATTGATTTGATGGTGGGGATAGAGTGGATAAAGCCTCCATTAGCGGTGCTAATTGCATGTTTATAATTTGCTTTGTAAGTAAAAAATGGGATTTTCCATGTATGCTATTAAGAGAGAAGTTGTGATTATTTATTTAAAACTAGATTAAGGAATAATTTAATTTTGGTATATGGAATTAATTAAAAAGATCTTACTTGGATAAAGCATTCATTAGCTGTGCTAATTACATGTTTAATTTTGCTTTTCAATTATTTGTGATAACTTTATAAAAATTTAAAATTCACATAAAGTGTGAATGAACTTATTTATATCATTATACTAACAAATTGAAGCATACACGATTAGAAATTAATTATAAAAAATTATCTTTTATTATATCAAATTTATTTGTTAAAAAAATTAATATTTATCTTTTAACATCTTAAAATTAAAGGATAATTTATTAATAAATTGTAATAAAAATTTGTATAAATAGATTAATGAATGTACATTTTTTATCGGCTATTTTATTTTTTTCATATTTTATGAGTATAGTATGCAATATCATCTTAGCCAACTTGGTTTACCAGAAATATTTTTTACCGATTGATTATATACAGCAGCACCTAAATGAATCACCACGTGTACAAGATTAACCCATTAATTAATTAGATGGCTAGCGTTTGAAACAGGGGTCGCCGCATGTTTGAGGAATATAAAAGTACAGAAATGATCATGACCAAATAAAAAATTACGGGGACTGGAGAATCTGATAGTACGATCACAGCACTGTGGAGCGCATGTGGGTTCTGAAATTTGTGTCACTTGGTCGAACGTGATTTAAGGGCTTGGGCTGGGCTTTCTATTATTAAAAGGCTGCAATTCAAATTCTCTTATGGGTAATTTGGGTCCAACTGCTACTTGGATGGTCCTGTCTAGTTTCAATTCACCTAATTTTGTTTTTGTTTAACATTTTCACAAATTTATTATTAGACGATCGCTTCATCTACATTCAAGGCATGTGGCATTAAATGCATCGTTTTTACAGGAGAAATTTTATAATACACATAGAATAATTAGTTATATATATAATAATTATTTTATAAACTTATTTTGAAGTGAGACATAGACATAAAAAAAAAAAAAAGAAATAGGAGAGAGAAAATAAAAAATTTGAGCGAGACGTGAAAATATTCTTATCACTTTTGATAGGTATATATGTAATTTTTTTTGTCTATCTCTCTCTTCGAAGTATATCAACATGACTAAATATTTTAACAAATCTTCGTTTGAGTTTGATTTTCCGTTTTAGTTTTTATGACTCATTTATTTTTTCAATTTTTCAATTTAGATTATTTATCAATATGGGAGGAAATAAATTGATACAGTAAATAGGTAAGATTACCAAGAATTTAAGGTTTTGGAAATCAAATTAAAGAGTTACAAAGTCTTATTTGTTTGTTTCATTCTTTCCATGTTTCAAACCTTACTATATCGGGTTTCAAACTTACATAGAGCTTAATGCTTGAGAAATTCGGGATGATGAGATTTGAATTCGGAACCTCTTGATCAACCAAGCTTTGATACTATATTAAAGAACAATCTCACCTAAAAGCTTTGATACTATATTAAAGAACAATCTCACCTAAAAACTTAAGTTAACAAGTGAAACCCTGTAATATAATTTATAACATGTAGCATCTAACACATCCCTCATTATGGGATAATACAAATATACTATGCATGAATTAACCTAGTGCCTTTTATTAAACCGAAAAGCTGTTGCTGTTATGCATGCAAAAGGGCAGCTGGTGGTGGTTATCGACCATGGTTGAACATGTAATCAATTTAATTTCTATCTAACAATTATATATATATATATATATATATATAACAATTTTCTTACATCATCGATCGTTGTATGATTTTATCTGAAAATTCTTTTGGAAAAAATGTTAGAAAAACTTAATTAATTGGAAAAATAACTTAATTAATTGGAAAAATAGTTATATAGGATTGTTAAAGGAAAATATTAAATTAAAATTCTTTTTTTCTCAACTAGACACAACATTACATATCTGTTCAAAGAGAGACAAAATCATAGTAGTATTACCACTCTTTTTTTATTTTATTCTTAAAAAAGCAAGGAAAAAATTGCAAAAATACCTTATTGTTTCCAATTTAATTATATAAAATGTATTTCACTTACAAACTGCTAAACAAAAACGCAATGTTAAGGAAATGAGCTTCTTTCCCGAATGCCAAACGTCTATAGCGAGAAAGTGCAAATGTCGCGTACCTCTCTCAGTGTAGAACATTGACAGCAATTTGGGGAATGAAATTTTAATGGAATCCGTTTTCTAGTTGAATCTGGTAAGAGTTTTTGCTGGCAATATATCATAAGGGTTTTTTGCGTGGACTGCAGCACCGACAGAACCTGAGAGATTCAGAAACCTGTACTGACTGACCAATTACATTTATTGTCTAGGGAGACTGACCGCTGATTAATGGATCGCTACTTGCCTTCCAGGAGCTTTAAAGCCATAGAGACTGTTATTGAGGAAGATTGCAGGTCCTATGAATATATTGGATCACTACTTGCAAATTTTGAGCTCTCTTCCGTTTCCGTTTCCCTTGCTGTCATTTGCACACCTTCTCTTTTGGCTTCATCATGCGTATGTGGAGTGTACTGGAAACCCTTTGCAGCCAAGCTGTCAGTGCTGGTATTTACATGGATTATCTTGTTGGTGATTTGTGTACTCCTCTTGCTGATTTACATTTTTAATACTACAATCCTAAAACTTCTTAGCCAAGAAGATACATTGCTGTCCTTGTTGGAGTATTCACTTTATTGGTAATCCCACAGTTATCTTCACTTGAATCAATTTAATTTCCTACCCAAAGTCCGCCTGGATTGAGTTTTGGGGTTTAATTAGACACATTTTTCTGGCTTTGGCTCTTCATCTATGAGTTCTGTTGGATACCAGTGGTGCAAAAACCTCAAAAGAGCTAGGTTTTGAGTAGAAGAGATCGAGATTTGCAAAAGGTGCTCATTAGGTTCTTCAAAGATAGAAAAAGCGAGTGTTTTCGGAGTGAAAGTGGAGGTTTCTGTAAAGAATACAGGAGCATAGCGAGGTTCGAAGATTTAGATTCTTCTAAATCTGCTCATGACTTGGGCTGTTTGGGAAGCTTGGCTCAGAGATTTGAGTCGGGAATATTGGGCTCCTTGAGAATGATTGTTGATAATGGAGTGAAGATGAAGATGGTGATGGTGAGTTATTAAGGGAAATGCAGAGAAGAAGAGGACGAGCATGAGTTCAACAAGGAATTAGGTAGACAGATACTGGAGGAGAGTCAAAATGAGAATATCAGGGGTAAGATGGGAATTTCCATTTGTTGATTCGTTTTGGTAACGATGTTTGTCGGTCTTGATTTGACAGTGAGGGTGGAGCGGATAAAACCTCCATTAGCAGGGATGATTGCATGTTTAATATATTACTTTTTTAATTATTTGCGATAACTTAAAAAAAATTAAAAACTTACATAAAGTGAATCACCATTTGAATATTATTATGCTTGAAAAAAATTAAATATATACAAATAAAAATTAATTATAAAAAATCGTTTTTTAATATCAAATTTATTTCTTGAAATGGTTTCACATCTTAAAACTAAAGAATAATTTCTTAATAAAAATTTTGATAAATAAACTAATGAATATGTATTTTTGACCATCTATTTTATTTTATTTTTCATATTTTATGAGTGTAGTATGTAATATCATTTTAACCAACTTGCTATTTCTATTGTAATTGACCAAATTATTAGTAGTATTTTTGACCGAATGATTATATTTTTTATCTAATTAAAATATGTCATTCTTTTTTTTTTTAAGTAAAAAATCATCTGCCTGCATAACAAAAGCAGCACCCAATCATGAATCACCACGTGTACAAGATTAACCCATTAATTAATTAGATGGCTAACGTTTGGAACAATGGTCGCCGCATATTTGAGGAGGGTGAAAGTACAGAATTGTCTATGACCTAATGAAAAAATAACAGGGACATGAGAATCTGATGATGCAATTACAGCACGGTGGAGGGCATGCGGGGTATGAAATTTGTGTCATTTGGTCGAACGTGATTTAAGGGTTTGGGCTGGGCTTTCTCTTATTAAGAGGCTGCAATTCAAATTCTCTTTTGGGCAGTTTGGGTCCAACTGATATTTGGATGGCAATGTCATGTTTGAATTCACCTAATTTTGTTTTTCAGTTTATATTATTTATCGGTATTTATTATCTGAAATATGGGAGGAAATTAAATGATACAGTATAATGGGTTAAAAGTACGTGTATGATAATATTTATGTTTATATACACAGTCCACCAATGGTCAGACAAAAAAAATAAATAAATAATATGAAGAATTTTAAGTTTTAGGTGAAAATCAACCAATCATGAGTCGGCTTCATCTTGCTCCATTCTCTCCATATTTCAAACCCTAACTTATCAAGTCGAATAAGTCCAACAATATTTAATATTTCATACTCTTAATACTAAATCTGTTGATAATACAATGTATGCACTAACTTATTATTCTCATTAACACTATCAATTAATGACTAGTGTGATTAATGAACATAAATATTTAATTAAATATATTGATTTATGTCTTGTATACATGGTTTGATTTACAACTTTGGTTCAATATTTGAATGAAAACAGAAAAAGAATTCTAAAATTTAAAGTTATATATACGTTTAATTATTAAAAAAAAATGTTCTTACAGGGTTTTGATATCATCTTTAATTAAATGAAAGTAAAAATTTAGTTATATAAGATTGTTAAAAGGGAAATATTAAATCGAAATTGCCCTTCTTTTTTTCCTACTAGACACAAGATTATATATCGGTTTTACTCTTCAAGGAAAATGTATTTCATGTGGAAACTACAAAACAAAAACACAATGTTAAGGAAATTAAGATGAGGTAGGACGATTGATGCTCGTGTTTCTTTCCCAAATCCTAATGCCAAGTATCTATAGAGAGAAAGGTGCAAATGTCACATACCATTACATCCCTAAGACAAAGTAAAAAAAAAAAACACATAAAGAATCAGTTTAATTTTGGTGTGCATATATATATATATATAAGTGACCATCACAACACAGTGGAACGCATTTGTGGTCTGAAATTTGTATCATTTGATAGAACGTGATTTAAGGACTCGGGCTGCGCTTTCTTTTATTAGAAGGCTGCAATTCAAATTCATTTTTTCAATTTATATTATTTATCACTATTTATTATTTTAACTATGAGAGGAAATTAAATGATACAATATAATGGATTAAAATTATGCAAATGGTGACATGTATGTTCAGACACAATAACAACAGTTTGAGAAACAAAAATTCTAAGTTTTTAGTGAAAATCAGTTCATTGATTAATATTTTGTTTTAACTTGTTTCATGTTTCACTTCTGATGTATTTCAAATCTTACTGTATGATCGGTTTATAATTATAAAAATTTAAGGTGATAAAATACAGACACGAATGCTCTGTATTATTTAAAATTGCCAACTAATTATGTATTGAGCTGGGAATTATTTATTACGAGCTATCAATCATTATGGAAGCTTGGATGTGTTGTTGGCAACGTAATAAATTTAATCTTGTACGTACTAGTATTTATATGCAAATTAATTAAAGTTATATACAATGTCAACTATTGGAAAAAAAAAATGTTATTACCAAATATTGATATGATCTTAACAATGGTACTTAGAATACTTCTCTTGTAGAATATTCTTTTGAAAACTGTGTTATAGAAAATTAATTGGAAAGAAAAATTTTGTTAAAAGAAAATATTAAACCTGGCCTTTGCGAGGCTCTCCCTTGCTTCAGCTGTGATGTTTTGCTTGGATATATATATATATATATATATATATGTTCGACCATATCTTATATTTGGAGCCTTAGCGTCTCCAGTGAGCTTGGATTGGTGACTGTATTTCAACCTCTTCTCAGTGGGCTAATTTTCATGGTTGTTGAGTTGATAACTAAGGATTTTTTTCCCATCATTTCCTCAAGCAGCAAAGATATGCAAGTGGCTGTCTCTAAACTAGCATTCCGTCCAGCTGTCTCTAGATTATCTGTACATTCTCACAGGTGTTGCTGTTGGTGGTGGCTGGCAAGCGTTAGTGGCATACATCAACATCAACATAGGTTGCTTTTATATTTTTGGGCTACCACTCGGTTTCCTGCTTGGATATAAAGCAAAGTTGGGAGTGATGGTACAGCAACTTTGGTTCCACTCGTCAAATTTCCTGATTACAATTTGCTCGATTGCTAAATAGTTTTGGTTTTTATAGGGACTCTGGGGTGGCATGATAGCTGGAACTGCGTTGCAGACCTTGCTTTTTTTTTAATAGTAATCTACAAAACCAACTGGATAAAAGAGATAAATTAAAGTCTTTATTTTTTTTTTGGGGACCCATTTCCGTACATACTGAAGTGTAAAATCTAAATTATAAATTTACATGTAGGAAAGGTAATGGGGTAGGGCGGCGCGGAGGAAGGAATGGCTCTTGAAAATTTTGCTCCATCTCCATTTCCATCCTATGCCTCCTGCAGCAATATTTCTCGTATTATCTCTATCCCAAATGGAGATGGGATCCTTGCGGAACATCAATGTTTTATTTAATTTTTTTTTCTGTTATATCCTGTCTCATTCTACTATAAAATTTTAAATTATAGAAAAAAACTGATAGTTTATATAAAAAATAAACATTAAAAGTTAATAATCATATATTTTATATAAGATATAATTATAATTTCAAAAATGAAACGAGACAAATAGAACAAGACGGGTAAATACCATTCTCATTCTATCTTCGATCAAAATAAATACAGAACAGAATGCTACGTCTTGTTTTCCAATCAATTCAAGAAATCTACACGCAGAAGGCTGGAGTGGCAAATTAGCATCTCTATGACCACATGCTGGTTGAACAAACAGCAAAAGGTACGAGGAAACCGGGATGGCAAGATGAATATCCTGATGGTGTATAAAACAACTCATGAGAGGATCTATAATGTCCGAATCCCTACTTGATTTGAGTGTTCTGAATGATTTTTGTTTTTTTTCCGTTTGGATTTGAGCATGGAAGACCCATCCCAAAGAGCTTTGTTTTTCATCACGCGGCTTCATCCTGATCATTTCCTCAAGAATAGAAGGCAATATAGATCAAATCCGTCAGGGTACTCCACCTAGAGCTACCAATGGTGTATATATATGGAAGGATTGTTTGCAAGAGACTTGAAACCTTAGCTCAATTCAAGTGGACTATTAATTTCGATTTTTTTAAAAAAAGCTATGATAACGTGAGAATCCTTAATAATCAGAGGACGATACAAAATAAAAGGATTTAGTTTCAGTATAAGAAAGCCTAGAGCTACCATCATACTATTAGGTGCAACGATTAGAAAGATATAGTTTCTAACTTGAATAAAATTGAACTAAAAATCTGATCAAAGTCTTCTTCTTCTTCTTTTATCAAAACTAGCAAAGCTATTTGCACTCAAATTGATATGTTAATTGACAAAAATTTATAGTGAATCTTTATTCCAAGTAACAAGCAAACTATTTAGGGCTGTGTCTCTCTTTTCAATAAAAAAAATAAAAATAAATAACAAGCAAATCACGGCCAAGATGAATTGATTACAGCACAGTGGAGCGCATGTGGGGTCTGAAACTTGTGTCCTTCGGTCAAACGTGATTTTAGGGCTTGGGCTGGGCTTTCTCTTATTAAAAGGCTGCAAATCAAATTTTGTTTTGGTAAGTTGGGTCTAACTGCTATCCGGATGATTCAATTAATTTTTTTTATTTAAGTAACATTTTCATAAATTTTTTATGCAATGCATTTTTATATTTTTTGGAACCTTGAGTGTATATCCTAAATCCAAACACTAATAATAATTCTGTTTTGGTAAGTTGGGACACTCATTGGTCCGCTCTGGTTGACTTAGGGTGGTGTAAAAGAACATTGAAATTTGAAAGCAATCTGGGAATGGAGTTTTACGGGGCCCATATGGCCCAAGAGATGATCTTGAACAAAATGTGATAGAACCTTTGCCTGATTTTGGCAAGGCCTCTTTATTATCCTTGCCTAACCGGAGAATTTATCGAAGAAGAAGAAAAAAGAAGACATATATTGGTATTCGGCAATTCGAATTTTGAGTATCTTGTTTGGTTCTTGAAATACTGTATACACCCTGGAATTAGAGGAATGAGATTGTGTGCTTTCTTCGTTTCGGTAGTACGGAAAGACATTAACTCGTCCCTTCTATCTCTTCATTGAATGTAAACCTAAGCTCGCTTTTGAATATTGACTGGTTTGCAAATTAGAATTTTCTCTCTCATTGATTTTGGTAGAGTATTCGCCACGAATTGCCAAAACATGCCCAA